TTATGTGGAGTGTTTGTCCTTGAACACTTTCAGCATTATGTGGTGAATTCTCCTTGGCAATTTTGGTGTTGTGTGGTGAATTCTCCGGTGCTTGTTCTTGGATGCTTTCAGTGTTATGCCTGGTATTTGTTCTTGGACATCTTCGGCGTTATGAATTCTCTGGTGTTTGTTCTTGAAACCTTCGGCATTGTGGTAAATTCTCCAGCATTTGTTCTTGGGCACTTTTGGCACTATAATGAATTCTCTGGTGTTTGTTCTTGAACACTTTCGGCGTTATGTGGTGAATTCTCCGGTGTTTGTTTTTGGACACTTTCAGTATTTTGATAAATTCTTTGGTGTTTGTTCTTGAACACCTTTGGTATTGTGTGGTGAATTCTCTGGTATTTGTCCTTGGGCACTTTTAGCACTGTGATGAATTCTCTGGTATTTGTTCTTGAACACCTTCGGCATTGTGGTGAATTCTCTGACATTTGTCCTTGGGCACTTTTGGCACTGTGATGAATTCTCTGGTGTTTGTTCTTAAACACCTTCAGCATCGTGTGGTGAATTCTCTGACGTTTGTCCTGGTGTTTTTAAACACCTTCGGTGTTGTGTGGTGAATTCTCTCTGGCGTTTGTCCTTGGGCACTGTGATGAATTCTCTGGTGTTCTTAAATACCTTTGGCATTGTGTGGTGAATTCTTCAGCATTTGTCCTCGAGCACTGTGATAAATTCTCTGGTGTTCTTGAATACCTTCGGCGTTGTATGATGAATTCTCTGGAGGTTGTTCTCGGGCACTGTGATGAATTCTCTAGTGTTCTTGAAATACCTTCGAAGTTGTGTGGTGAATTCTCTAGCATTTGTCCTTGGCACTGTGATGAATTCCCTGGTGTTCTTGAATATCTTTGGCATTGTGTAGTGAATTCTCCGACATTTGTTCTTGGCACTGTAATGAATTCTCTGGTGTTCTTGAATACCTTCGGCATTGTGTGGTGAATTCTTCGGCATTTGTCCTTGGGCACTGTGATGAATTTTCTGATGTTTGTTCTTGACACCTTCAGCATTGTGTGGTGAATTCTCTGGTATTTGTCCTTTGGCACTTTTGGCGCTATGATGAATTCTCTGGTGTTTGTTCTCGGCATTGTGTAGTGAATTCTCTGGCATTTGTCCTTGGGCACTTTCAGCACTGTGATGAATTCTCTAGTGTTTGTTCTTGAACACCTTTAGTGTTATGTGGTGAATTCTCCGATGTTTGTTCTTGGGCACTTTTGGTACTTTGATGAATTCTCTGGTATTTGTTCTTGAACACCTTTGGTGTTGTGTAGTGAATTTTTCAGCATTTGTCCTTGGGCACTTTCGGCACTGTGATGAATTCTCTGGTGTTTGTTTTTGAACACCTTCGGCATTATGTGGTGAATTTTCCAGTATTTGTTCTTTGGCACTTTTGGTACTTTGATGAATTCTCTGGTGTTTGTTCTTGAACACCTTTGGCATTGTGTGGTGAATTCTCTGGCGTTTGTTCTTGGGCACTTTCAGAACTGTAATAAATTCTCTAGT